AATTTTTCTATTAATTAAACCCACAGGAAGGAAAAATTATATACCAGCATGAGATATGTTCTAGTTATTAATAACTTTCATAAGGGTATATAAGGGAACTAGATCCCAATTTATAAATATGCAAAGTCAGTACCTTGAATCATACTAAGTATGGTTTAATAGATGTTGAAGAGAGTTCTGATTTATTCTGCAAACAATATGTTCATCTTTTCTTACTTATCTCTAATAATCAATGAAACAAGAAAAAGCATTGCAGTCTCCAGTACTTGTTTTTAACAACAAATAGTGAAATTTTCTTTGAATTCTGTCTTTGAAAAACAAAACACATCACAGAGTAAAGCAGGTGGAAATTGTTTGTATTAAAATATTCCTTGTAGAAATATCTGGCTACTAATAACCTAGTGAAAGGTACCCTAAGAAACATACATAGATATGTGACTCTACCAGGGAAATTTACAAGCAAGGACTCTAAAAGACTGGAGAAAGAAACAAAAAGAGATAGGAAAAAGGGAGAAAATAAGAGAAAAAAGAAAGGAGAGAGGGAAGGGAAGAAATCAAACAGAAGGGGATGAAATGGAGGGATATCAGGAAAAACAGAAAATTAGCTTAAGACAGAAAAATTAAAATAGTGAAAAAGTGATTAAGGTGGGAAAGTGGGTAATACAACTTACGAACTTAGAGTTTCAAGATGAAGATTACCTGAAGGAAAACAGCCTAAGATTTTGCAGCTCTCTCAACATTAGGATACTGTAACTAAATGAAATAGTCCTGAACATTAGGACAAAGAAATAAGAAAAAGATCTTGTGGCCCATAGGTGAAGTCATTATATCTAATACAGTTTTAAAAAATAAGATTTATGGAAAATGAATAGAATTCTTCAGACCCACCAGAAACAAGTAAACATTTTTCTATTCTTTCAAACTGTGTTTTATAACAAGTGAAAAAATTAGTCCTAAGGCAAATAACCACACCAATGCTAGAATTCAAAAATAGATGGCTCATTAAACACAAGCTCATAGATTTAACTGAAGGACTTGCTGAAGATTCAACTAAAGGAAAAGCAGACAGCTGGTACAATACGGCCTAAGAATTTCTCAGATAATCTAACCTTACCAAAGTAGTCCTAAATCTTGTCTTTGCTAAGATAATAAGTTTAGAAAGAGTAACTAAGAAACCAAAGCGGATAGCCACTAACTATTAATTAGTTGGAAAAAAAAGTATTACACTTACTCATACCACTGTTTATTGTGTTTTCGGTAAAGCAACGTATCCAAGGCAACAGCATTGACATCCAGAGCTCCTGGGGAAGGCCACTGGTTGGTGAGATGGGCAGTTAACTCTTGTCTTGATCTTAAATCATTATTCTTTAGCACAGTCCTGTGAATATTAAGATGGTGAGTGCTTTTGTCTTCACTGTTCTACAATGGCAGAGGAACCTAATGGTATCAATTTAGGTCCCCAAAATTTATCTTTTTAAAATGGTATGTTAATAGATTGTGAACAGAACTATAGCAAGGATGGCTGGGACAATGACTGTTTGTTCTCCTGCAATAGGTGTTCTTCATTTTTTTTCTGCTGGTTACAACAAATCACTGCTTGTGAAGTTCAGACTGACTGTCTTTTCACATTATTACTAAAGTACTAAAGAACTCAAGTAGCATTTTATTTCTTAACTAAAAGAAAGTGATATCTTAAAGATACAGGTTATCAAGCCAATTAAAATATTTAAAAAGTAAAGATTCCATGTGTATGATTTCCTAGCCTCAAAACTCAGAAACAATCTATGAAAGTAATTTAATTCAAGTGAAGGAAAAGCGATTCAAATGAAAAAACTGCAGAAAAATATAAAAATCCATGAGATTCTCATAAATATTTTTCCTTTTAACACACTGTTGCTGGCTTGAATCCCATAACTGTTTTTGATAAAAGTAACTACTGATAAATCTTCATGAAAATGATTAAATCAGTGACAACTACACTGAGCAGTATAATCCACTATAAATGTTTTAACTGCAGGATGAAGCCATTGTAACAATCCACAGTTTTAACTTTTATAGAACTGTTACTTGCTAATATCAACTTAGAAAAGAATTTGCTTTTTGCCAAAATTTCTGACTTCACAAACGAACTGATCATTGTCACAGGACTAATTCAACATTTAAGTTGATGGTTAAAAAAGAATTTAAAAGCAAAGGTCTTACTCTACCTCTAAAAGGCCTTAAAGTACCATTTAGGTAACCTGCATCCTCCAACAGGAGTCCATGGCTTTAGTGTGCCAATGTTCTGAGCCATCAATTCAGAAGCAGGGAAGTAATATGTGCCTGCCACTAACTTCCACAGATAAAAGTCCTGTTGTGGGTAACAGAGAGGTGAGTCAGTGAGGTAAGGGCAGCACAATACTGCACTAAAGAAAATCAGCCTGTACTCCACCCTGGCTGTTTACAATGATACTAATGATATAACTGTATTTCATTTGTCTCTTAACAGGCTGCAGATTGATATTTCTGATTTTATGGGGTATCTATGTGCACTGAAAATATCTGTTTTACTATGTCAACAAAGAAACATTATCTGATGTGAATACTAGATTCTGTCTCAGGATGGAATGCTAAAATAGGCCAAAGTTAGTAAATGTATCCCATTAAGATATTATTTTAGCCTAGTTACCACAATTTCATTTCACTGGAAAAGAAATGAAAGTTTTAAAAGGACTTTTAAAGTACTGGAACATTTTTTTTAAATGAAAACAGTAAAGCTTTACAAAGAGACTGGGAAAATTTTATGACTGACAGAAAAATTATTCAAAACAAAAATAGGAAATATTGGCCAGAAAATCTATTATGATAAACTACTATTATTTTGGATTCTCTTAGTTTATTCTCTATCATATATTCCATATCTTGAGGAAATGTAGTGAACATCACTGGAAAACTCAACTCCAAGGTTATAATTGGCTTACAGAAGATATTCAGGCAGAATGTGGGAAAAGCAAATGTGCATCTATGAGGAAATGGCACCGGGAGAACACAGTCAATAACTGAACAACCTACAATTTAGAATGTATTCTTTCTGGAAAGTGAAAAGTTTTATACCTCATTAAATGGAAAAGAGAACTGAAGTTCTACAATTGTTTTTATATAACTGTTGTCCACGGAGATTTTTGCCTAATGACAAATTAAGGTACTGCCTTTAGACCTTTGTCTTAGAAATCCTAATGATGTTTTTATGAGCAGTTGCCTGGTCCTCTGAAACAGGAGATAAAGATTTCAGTGTATGGAAGAGGTATAGTTTTCTTCCACGCAGCATCTATTCCCATTCTTTTGTGAAGAATGTGGAGACAATAAATCCTGGCACTCGCTTTGCCACTGTGAAGAGGAAAGGTTCCTGGAGAATCCTTGTGTAAGGCCTTTTCTTTCACCACTCAAGTACACTATGGGACAGGCAAGGGAATTAAGTTAGGTTGAGAACCTCATCCTTGTATTTTGCATCTGTTTAGAGTAATAAATAAACAAACCAGTTTAATCACTTTACCATGCCCTGAAGAGAATGTACCAGCAAAGAGACATTATTGCAGGTCCTGCTTCCAGCCCTTTGGAGTAGCTCAATCTCCTTCTTTCGAAGCCTATTTATCCAGTCTTTCTATCCATTCTGTGAGTTGCTGATGTCTTTATAATGAATTGTATTTGTGGACAACAGTTTATTGTGGTTGCTTGCAACCAAAGAATCCTATCACTTACCCTAGAAACAGTGAAATATACCCAGTTAATATCAAAACCTACTTAAAGGTAATCCAATTAATGTTAATATGAAGAATAATTATGTTTTTTCTTAATTGGCCAAGCTTAAAAATGGTTTCAACTTAAATTACTCAATAATTGCCATTATTTCATGATATTGTCAGTGATAATTAAAGGTTAAATATGTGATATCTAGCATTTAACTTTAATTAAAACTCTAATCAATGATGAAGTTAGCCTGCTATCCAAAAATGAAATTATTTTATATGTGATAGATTGTATTTATCACTTATTTATAAGTCAATTTATCATTCCCTTACTAAGACAATGATTCTATAGAAGGAACACTGAAGGTAAATTGTTTAATTTACTATGGAAGTAGCAAGATTAGATTTATCACAGCTAATTTTCTGAACTTTCCTGTGGTATCTACCTCTAAATTTCTAGATAGCTAATTTCTCTTTAGATTCTCAATAGGAATTATTTAGGAATTTGGCTTCTCAAAATAAGATAATTTAATTTTGATTACTGTAATGATATAAAACCATTAAAGAAAGAATCTCATTATATGGATTTTAAGCTACATTATAAACTCATCAAATCTAACTATAAGGCAGATTCTGACACTTGTAAAGCTTAAATACAGCTACTGAGACAGCAAGTTACAAGGCTACTCTATGAGGGAAACATATTTAAAACTCAAGTTTACTTATATACTGAAAGTCTTATCATCTCCTTGTCTTTGCTCTTCCAGCATTAACTATATCCCTACTATTATTCAAAAGATCCAAAGTCCATCTATCTTCCAAGGTCCATTTGGTTTTCTACCTCATTCAAAAAGATCTTCAGACTACTTCTGTTCACAGTGATATAACTTGTATTGCTTTGTAGTGAGTCTCATACAATTTAATAATTATTTAAATATTTTAATGATTTATGGATCTTCTACTTTGCTTATAAGCTACTTGGGAACAATATCTTTGTTTCATATTTATTCACTGTAAATGGTTATCATAACATTGGACATATTGCTGAATTTCCTCAACGTACAATTCACATGACCACTAAGTGAAAACTTTTCCAGCTTGATGCCTCATATGGATTCTTGCTGATTTTACCTCATATCACAAAGTGTTAAACTAAAAATTTAGATTAAATCTGCAAACTATTTCACACACAGCATTTTCATGACAATTGAAAAAATATATTCACAACTAATATCATGTAACTGTATTAGGTAGGCAGCGGAAGACACACTTAAAACATGTGAAGGAGCAATCATCTGGTCTCAGTCGCTGCTGCCAGCTCATGTACAGTGTTCTCTCACCACTCTGCTACCCCACTCCTCCCCCGGTCGCAATGGAAGAAGAAATTGCTGCGCTCGTCATCGACAATGGTTCTGGCATGTGCAAAGCTGGCTTTGCTGGGGACGACGCCCCCTGAGCCATGTTTCCCTCCATTGTCGGGTGCCCTTGGCACCAGGGCATGATGATCGGCATGGGCCAGAAGGACTCCTACATGGGCGACGAGGCCCAGAGCAAGCGAGGTATCCTGACCCTGAAGTACCCCATCGATCACGGCATTGTCACCAATTGGGATGACATGGAGAAAATCTGGCACCACACTTTCTACAACGAGCTGCGTGTGACCCCAGAGGAGCACCCCGTGCTGCTGACCGAGGCCCCCCTGAACCCCAAGGCCAACAGACAGAAGATGACTCAGATCATGTTTGAGACCTTCAACACCCTGGCCATGTACGTGGCTATCCAGGCGGTGCTGTCCCTCTACGCCTCTGGGCGCACCACTGGCATTGTCATGGACTCTGGAGATGGGGTCACCCACACGGTGCCCATTTACGAGGGCAATGCCCTTCCCCACGCTATCCTGTGTCTGGACCTGGCTGGCCGGGACCTGACCGACTACCTCATGAGGATCCTCACCAAGCGCGGTACAGCTTCACCACCACGGCCGAGCGGGAGATCATACGTGATATCAGGGAAAAGCTGCTACATCGCCCTGGACTTCGAGCAGGAGATGGCCACAGCTGCATCCTCCTCCTCTTTGGAGAAGAGCTATGAGCTGCCCGACGGCCAGGTCATCACCATTGGTAACCAGTGGTTCCGGCGTCCGGAGGTGCTGTTCCAGCCTTCCTTTCTCAGCATGAAATCTTGTGGCATCCACGAGACCACCTTCAACTCCATCATGAAGTGTGATGTGGACATCCATAAAGACCTGTACGCCAACACTGTGCTGTCTAGCAGCACCACCATGTACCCAGGCATCGCTGACAGGATGCAGAAGGAGATCACTGCCCTGGCACCCAGAACCATGAAGATCAAGATCATTGCACCCCCAGAGCTTAAGTACTCCGTGTAGATCGGCAGCTCCATCCTGGCCTCACTGTCCACCCTCCAGCAGATGTGGATTAGCAAGCAGGAGTACGATGAGTCTGGCCGCAAATGCTTCTAAATGGACTGAGAGCAGATGCCTAGCATTTGCTGCATGGGTTAATTTGGAAGTATAAATTTGCCGCTGGCAAATGCATACACTTCATGTTAGCCTCACGAAACTGGAATAGGCCTTCGAAAAGAAATTGTCCTTGAAGCTTGTATCTGATATCAACACTGGATGGTAGAACTTGTTGCTGATTTTGACTTGTATTCAAGTTAACTCTTCCCCTTGTTATTTGTTTTACTCTGTACATATCTTTGATTTCAACCTTTAGTACATATGGCTTGCTCACTTCGTGGCTAAGAACGTGCTTGCAGGCAGACAAGTCTGGCTTGGTGAGTCTGCGTGGCCAGCAGTCTCCTATCTGTGCAGGGTATTCATGTGTCAGGGCTGAGTGTTCTGGGATTGTTCTAGAGGCTGGCAAGGGCTGCCAATCTGTCAGGGTTGGAAAGCACAAGCCATAGGACCCGGTTTCCTTTCTTAGCTGATGTTTTCCTGCCAGAGCACCATGGGCTGTTACTTGCCTTGAGTTGGAAGCAGTTTGCATTTACACCTGTAAATGTATTCATCCTTTTAATTTATGTAAGGTTTTTTTTGTACACAACTCGATTCTTTAAAGAGATGACAACAAATTTTGGTTTTCTACTGTTTTGTGAGAACATTAGGCCCCAGCAACACGTCATTGTGTAAGGAAAAATAAAAGTGCTGCCATAAAGAAAAAAAAAAAGAAAAGAAACAATTATCTAAAAGTCTTCATGATTGTTATATTTTTCATTAGAAACATCCTTATAGAAGAGGGAGTACAGGAAGTATAACTGAAATCTCCTTCCTTATTATATTCTCCCACTCCTAATAATTGCCTTCTAGATTCTTGAAGAATCCCTATCTTGCTTTTGCATAAAGATCTTTTACTCTGCGGGTAAAAATCTGTCATTTGAAAGTAAAGTTTATTTTTTTTATATATAAGTATGTTGAAATATGTGTCAGTTTAATTTATCAATTGACTTTTTCATGTATTCTTTAAATATATCCTCAATTTTTTTTACCTGAATGTGTCTTTGACGGATATATGTAAATTCAAAATACTGTGGATTTATAAATGCAAAACTTCTCAAGTAAAAAATGGAATCTAGATCTTCTGCAAAATTGTTCAAAACAATAGTTTTTAGTTAAGGGTCAAAGAGCTGTTTAATTTTTCAAAGGAAAAATAGTTTCTTATCTTAAGCAAGCCCTTCTGGGCATGACAGAAAAAGTCAATAAATACAATGTATTCTGTGGAACTTACCTAACCCCTGAAAAGTTCCTGTATCTTCTAAATATATAATTTATAACAACATATAAATATGTATTTTGCCACTGATGCTTTATTCTTTTTAGATTTGTAATTTTTCTTCATATAATGATTTAAAATTTTTTAAAAATTTTATTTAATTCATTATTTATTTTGAGTAGGGTCTCACTCTGTCACCCAGGATAAAGTGCAGTGACATGACATAATCATGGCTCTCTGCAGCCTCAACCTCTTGGGCTCAAGTGATCCTCCCACTTTAGTCTCCCAAATAGCTGGGACCACAGGTGTGTACCTCCACTCCTGGCTAATTTATTTTTTGCTGAGGTAGGGGTCTCCTTATGTTGCCCAGGCTGGTCTCAAACTCCTGGTTTCAGATGATGCTTCTGCCTAGGCCTCCTAAAGTGCTAGGATTATAGTTGTGAATATTTATGTGTTACATGAGATACTTTGACACAGGCATGAAGTGTGTAATAATCACATCAGGGTAAAGGGGAATCCATCACCTCAAGCATTTAACCTTTGTGTTACAAACAATACAGTAATACTCTTTTGGTAATTTTTAAATGTACAATTAAATTACTTTTAACTATAGTCACTCTGTGTGCTAGCAAACACTAGGTCTTGTTCTTTTTTTCTTTTTTTTTTTTTTTTTTTTTGGTTTTCATTAACCCCCTTTTTCTCCCTCATGAGACTCGTATGATTATTGTTAGTTTATCTTTTTTTTTTTTTTTTTTTGAGACAGGGTGTTGCTCTGTCACCCAGGCTGGAGTGCAGTAGCATAATCATGGCTTGTTGCAGCCTCAACCTCCCAGGCTCAAGTGATCCTCTCACCTAATTTTTATATCTTTTGTAGAGACCTGGTTTTGCCCTGTTGCCCAGGCTAGTCTCAAACTCCTGGGCTCAAGTGATCCTCCAACCTTGGTCTCCCAAAGTCCCGGAATTATAGGTGTGAGCCACTGCACTCAGCCTATTAGTTTACCATGACTAAGTACAGAACAATACAATGCAATGCAATATAATACAATATGATAACAAGACTCTGGATTAATTATCAAGGACTTTTACAGCAAGGACTTTTCATTAGGGACACTTTATATCATTTCAGGAGGAAATTATTTTCTCTTTGTTTTTGAAACAAAAAATTCAGCAAAAATGCAGTTATTTACTGTCTCTGAGAAACAGGTTTCCATATCTCAGTTGTTCATTAAGTAATTTGATAAAATTCAATTTGTGAAGATGTTATATGACTCTGAAGCATCAAGAAGGGTATATTTACCTTTCTCCTCTAATAATGAAGAGTATTTTATAGGAATAATGTTTTTTTTTTGAGGCGGAGTCTTGCTCTGTGTCACAGAGGGAGTACAGTGGCGTAATATTGGTTCACTGCAACCTCCACCTCCTGGGTTTAAGGAATTCTCCTCAAGCCTCAGCCTTTCAAGTAGCTAGGACTACAAGTGTGTGCCACAACACCCAGCTAATTTATTTTTAATTTTTAGTAGAGACAGGGTTTCACCATGTTGGCCAGGCTGGTCTTGAACTCCTGATCTCAAGTGATCCACCTGCCTCAGCCTCCCAAAGTGTTGATATTACAGATGTAAGCCAGCACACCCAGCTGGAATATCAATTTTTAAATAGAGCCTCCTCCCAGGTAAAAATGGAACAGTCCCAATAAAAGATATTTCAATTTTCCCAGAAAAACTATTTGCTTCTAATAGTATTTGACTTAAAATTTTATCTCACTGATCTTCCTCACATGATGTTTTATATCCATGTTTCTGTATGTGCTATTCTTTGTACCCAGAATACCCTTTCTTTCTTCCTGCCCCTTGGTTACGTGGGGAACCCCTGAAAAGCCCTGTTAAAATACCAGTTTCTTAGTGATGGTTTCTCTGGATCATCATTACTGTGCCACTTCTACATACAAGCTGCGCATGCCTAATCTCAAAATCCAAAATGTTCCAAAATCCAAAATTTCTCAGCAGCAACATGACACCACAGTGAAAAATTCCACACCTGACCTCATGTGAAGTCTTGCAATTAAAACACACTCAAAATTTTGTATCATGCACAAAATTATTAAAAATATGGTATAAAATTATCTTCAGACTATGTGTGTAAGGTGTACATAAGACATAATTGAATTTTGGCTGGGCACAGTGACTCACACCTGTAACCCCAATGCTTTGGGAGGATTGCTTGAGCCCAGGAGTTCAAGACTAGCCTGGACAACATAGTGAGACCCCATCTATAAAAAAAATTTAAAAATTAGCTGGTCAAGCTGGGCAAGGTAGTACATGCTTTTAGTCCTAGATACTTGAGAGGCTGAGGTGGTCACTTGAGCCTGGAGGTCAAGGCTGCAGTGAGCTGTGATTGCACCACTGCACTCCAGACTGGATGACAGAGACCCTGTCTTGAGAGAGAGAGAGAGAGAGAGAGAGAGAGAGAGAGAGAGAGAGAGAGAG